CTCTCTCTCTCTCTCTCTCTCTCTCTCTCTCTCTCCAAACTTCATTCTCTGGTTAACTCCTCTCTCTTTCTCTTTCTCTGCCTCGTTCTCACCCGTTGAAAATACGCGTGCACACACACACACACACACACACACACGTAGCGTCGTCTGGATGTATATATGACCCTATTGACGCCCATTCTCTTTCCAATTAAAACTTGGCTGGCAACGTCACTCACTGATAAAGCCAAGAGCGGTGCTCTTACGATACTGTTTTAACAGTGTAATCGCCATGTAACACTAATTAAAAAATCAACATGATGGACCAAAGCTATCTTCGTTTACTCTGTTGATTTTTACGAGCACGTGTGAGAGCCACCTTAGTCAACGATAAACAGTCATGAATCACTACAGTATGGTATGACTACGTTGATGGTAATTTTAACCGGGACACAGTTGTAAAACGAATAATTTCAAATAAAACCTAAGGGATCGTTCATACACTGATATATAAAGTGTGCAACTGACACACACTTTAAGGTGTTTAACACCGTGTTGCACACTTCTATGTGTGCAACACAAATTTGAATAGTTGGAAGTGTTCAACAGGTGTGTTGCACACTTTTTAGTGTTCAACTTGAGCGTTGAGCTATAGTGCTCGTCGGCCAGGTTGAACATTTAAAAGTGTGCAACACACCCGTTGAACACTTCCAACTATTCAAAACTTGTGTTGCACACATAGAAGTGTGCCACACGGTGTTAAACACCTTAAAGTGTGTGTCAGTTGCACACTTTATTTATCAGTGTAATGAAAGTACGATCGATTTATTCGGATTCGTTCGGCAAATTACAGGCGCCCGGCGCCTGCAAAACTCGGGGTAGGCCACCCCGCAATACACGTATGCCCTGCAGCCAAGGTGTTGCCTACCTACCAGGAGTCAGGAGGGCTTGCAGAGTCTGAGCTTAGCAGGCTCGTAACGGCGAATGACGGACGTACTTGATGGATGGCTCCTAAGTCGTACACGACATTTTTTCTTTACACATTTACTAACTAAGACCAATAATGATTTGATAATAAACAATTTGAGAGTGTTAGTAGTCAATAACGATGGCAAAGATTAATAAGAGTTTTTACATGACTTAAAGCAAGTGAACGCCACACGGACAGATAAAAACGACTCGGTGATGTCAGAGGAAAGAATAAAGTTTTCCTCTTATCATTCCTCTTAGCCCCTCTCTCACTTATTCATTTCAGGAGAAGGGCAGGGGATTGGGGGGAAGAGGGGTGGGGAGATTGGTTATCGACGAACAAAAGTGTCATCGTCTAATCTCGTTCCTCCCCGCATCAAAATTCAGCTCTTATTGCCTCATTCGCGTTATCGGCTGAATATGTCCCTCCCCTACGACTGCGTCGCTTGACATAATTTTTTTGCAATAAAAGCTCGCTCAGGTCCAACCGCGTGGCCGCTCCATTGTGGCTTTGGAACAATCCGTGATACCCTCTCCGAAAAAAAAGGTCGCCGTGGCCAAAATACCATTGGCAGCTCTCAATGCATTCTAAAACGGTAGAATGGAATGGTTATAAAGAGTGGGGAAACAATGGGCTGCGAGACAATTGCACGACGCACGACAAAACAAAATGGTGGGTGGGAGTTTAGTGACATTAAAAGGTGAAACGCCAAAACAGTCTATATGCTCTACCATTTTCAGTACTTTCACATCAGCTGCAGAACTGCCAACAGTTCCTTCCACAAGGAACATCTCATCAGCTGCGGGAACTTACCCGAGGCTGCTACGGCAGAACGTCCTGCTTGTGGTGACCAAAGACAGGCTAAGTGAACCTGAAAAACAAAAACGGGAGTTGTCATTTAAAATTTAAATTAAAAATTATACAGAAGCGGGAAAAAATTTGTGTTGTATGGTCCCTCTCAAACAGATGATTTAATGCGGCCGACACTTGTTGCTCAATGGCAGTAACGCAACATGACCCGGAGCGGAAGCCGACGGCACTGTGAAATTTTTACAAAGGAATTCTTTAGAAACAAGCGCCACGTATCAGCTGGCCATTTATTCACTAGCTGCTGTCGTAAATTTACAACATATTTTCTGAATCTTTGTAACAAAATACGTTGTAAATTAACGAAGAAATTTTTCACGAGGTAAACTGAAGTCAGTCAAGCGCCCGCAGGGTCCAGGATAGGCCACCGGGTAAGCACGCGTGTGCGACATGTTGCCGACCCTCAAACCAGTAGGCGGTATCAAGGCGGTCCGCGATAGGCCACGGGGTATACAAGCGTGAGCGACATGTTGCCGACCCTCAAACCAGTAGGCGCTCGGAAGGGAAAATGAGACAGGAGGAGTGAAAGAGGAATGAAGAGGGGGAAAGAGGGCGGGAGGGGCGGTCGAGGGAAGAGCGGGAGAACAAACGCAGACGGTCTAGAAGGTGATTAGAATGAGGAGAGCGCGTGTGTGTGTGTGTGTGCGAGTAAGAGCAAATGGGAATTAGGAAACACGGTAGGTGGGGCGTATGCCTTGAGTCGTAGTGACATTTGCCTCCGGCTCCCGGCTCTCACGCACTCGCTTGCTTACGCTCAGGGAGAGGGAGTGACGGGAGCGCGCGACTGCCGTACTAATTTATGCCTTCCGATTACACACACCGCCCTCTTGCGCTCCCCGGCGCTGCTCCGACTCGATTGTCTGTTGCCCTAGCCAGCCTCGACCCCCGCCTGCAGCCACTGGAGCAGCACGGCGGACACACAGCCTGACATCCACACGCCTGCCGCCCGGCCACTCGGCCCCGCAGAGCAGCGGCTGCGCAAACCCGCGCCTCGCCTAACGCCTCAGCTGGACCATAGACCAGGCCACTAATATTGAATAGCCCTCGGAAAGCATCGCGCCGGCGAGGGACACCGGGTATGGGGGGGGGGGGGCGATAATGGAATGCGCAGCTGCAGCAGCGCGCCCGGTGGGAAATCATAACGGCGAAGGGGAGGGGGCATCGTCGCCGCCACGCATAAGGGACATCCTCTAACACGAAGGTGACGCTCTGGAGGCGATCTGCTCCCCATACGCACTGAAGTGTATAGTATAGTAGAATTTTTCGACGGTATACTATGGCGAGGGGTGGGCGACGAGAGAGGCTGGAAACTTATTTTGGCGCCTGCAACATTTTTATTGTACACGAATAGCAAATTCTGTATTCCGTGGCGCGTAGCGCAAAGGGGTATAAATCGCCCGTTGTTGCGCTATACGACGTATCAGACCAATCCGCAGCAAGTGGTTGGCGGTGGTTGGCCCCCACGCCGCGCCACACGCGCCAGAGAGCGAGAGAGGATATAGACATATGTTAAAGAGTAAGCGTGCGAAAGGTGAGTACGAGGGAGGGGTGGTCTAGTTTGGGGCAGGGCCGAGGGGTGCTCGCTCGCAGCCCACCGCGGGTAGCAGAGCCGCGTGTGGGTGTGGGGGGGAGGGGGAGGGGCGCTCGCCGCGCTCGCCGATACCCAAGTGCTTCCGCCGCGCCCCGGTCACAGCCCTGGCTGCCCTGGCGCACCTCGCGCCGCTCACGCTCACCTCCGTGTGTACGTACGGCGGCCGTCGCCCTGGTCTCGCAAGCTTAGTTCAAACATCCGCTGACTTCGGGAGGCAGAGGCCGCACTCCAGTGAAAACTCGCAGGAGGTTTCCATGACCAAGACCAAATTTCGGGGCTTTTATGGTAAAAATTACATTTTAAATTGCGGCATGATCTCGCTCCGTTTGGATTTTGAATTGTAAATTTGAAAAATGCCATGCTTGATTTAACAAAGGCATAGTGAAGTCGTACAAGTGCGAAATAAGTTGATTTTGTGTTGTTAAAAATCTCGGTTTAAAATTTTCGTAATTCTTACAGATTATATGTGTGACTTAAGTGACTTTACAGTAAATATGAATATTGATAATCAGTTCGTTGATTAACGATGTAAATTAAAAAGTTTCAAATAACAAAAATGCGTGATAAAAAAATGTAAAATTTACCCGCTAAGCGTACCAAAAATATTCAGTGGTCATCACAACGAAATTTGACGGCGCGTATCTCTTATTATTGGCCTTGAGTGCCGAAATCTGAGCCACTAAAGCCACTGCACCTTTTCCTTGGTGGAGGCGTCGATAGCCACACGTTCCCACCCGTGTCAGCCACAGCCACAGCGAGGTGAAGAGGATGATTACTTCTCTCGCTTCCCGTTGCCAAGCATGTAACGTTGCGTAAAGGCGTATACACAACACTAATTAAAAATCAAAGGGGGGAGGGAGGATGAGGATACGCCGTACAAAGGTCGAATTAAAAGAAAAAGTGGAAACGTTTGCGCGTTGCGAGAAAGGGAGAACGGTTGGAGGTTACTGGGAAAGGGAAATGCAGGCTCAGCGGTCGGAATGAGGCACTTCCAGCAAATAGCGCAAACAAAATCAGCCCAGGCGTGAGCAGGGCCCTATAAAAGGTGAAAGGAATACAAAACACAAAGCTAGCAAATAGCCTGACGAGCAATCCGAGCGCCGGGAGCGGCATGGCGCAGCACGGACGGCGGGGTGGCTAGCGGTGGGGTCCAGGCGTTGACGATCAAATGAACCACTTCTCAATGCGGCTCGTTTTTAACAGCTTCAAATAAAAAGACAACAGCAAACCACGCGCGAAAGCTTACAAACATCCGACCAAAAAATGCCCGAAATAATTAAAAGTATAAATAAATGGAAAAGAAATATTTCATTTTAGTGGTGCATACCAGGCTCCTTCCTGTCATATGCCTTCTACTGCCCCGTTGTATCCCGTCACTCTCAGACCTGTACTGATTTAATTATTAGTGGCTTAGAAATGTTTTCACACAGCAGGATAACTGACTAATTTTTTTACTTATTCTGTATATTGCTGTGAGTTATAGGTCTCAGACACGCGGCCCGCGGGCCGGTCGGGCGAGTCGGGCCGCAATAGGAGATATAGGCGGGCCGCTCCGGGCCGGCCGAGAAGCGACACAGCCCGGCAGCGAGCGGGCGTCGCTGCCAGCATGCGTCCGAAAACGGCAGGTGGACGTGAGATGGAGCGTAGCGCGGTTAGAGCATCTCACTCACACCTGTCGTTTTCGTACGCATACGCGCTCAGATTCTATCGCTTGCGGCTGGCGTTCGGCAGGCGGTAGGTGGACGTCCAGCCCGCCTCCTCTCTTACAGCGCATCTATCTCTCTCTCTCACTCAGCTCTGTGCGGCCCGCTCGGATCGCCCAGTCGGAGACCCCTGCTGTAAGTAACTCACTGATAAAAGAGAAATAGACCGTAATTAAAAAAAAGCAATTACTTCGTAGTACTGATGAAAACTGTTGTCAGTAGCTTATAAAGGTTTTTACGCGGCAGGAATACTGACAGGGGGTGAAAAAAAAAAAAAACAGTAACAGGATGAGGATGACAGTGTATCGTGTCGCTCACAATAAGCTTCGTGGCACTCGTGGGCCTTCATATTGATTTCTATTAATTTCAACCCCTCAACCTCACGGGCAGATAATGGGGATTCGCAGCTATCAATCTCTGCCGAGCCTGCAGCAGCCCATCCCTCTCCTCCTTCCCTCTCCCCCTTTCCCTATCTACACAAAACACACGCTGCTGTTGCTGTGGATCTGTTGAGAAGACAGAAAAAGAATATGAAGTATGTACATATGCAGGTTCCTCTCCATTTTTCTCTCCTGCTTTTACCTCTTGAACTGCATTTAAGGCTGGCGAGAGCGCAAAGCTATGGAAAGCTGATGAAACTCACACATCAAAGCGGCTTGAAGGGGAGCACGCGCTTCGCCCTAGAACGGGGGCTCGTCAGGTTCGCCGAACACTGAACTACCCCCCCCCCCCCCCCGGTATACTATGGCGAGGGGTGGGCGACGAGAGAGGCTGGAAACTTATTTTGGCGCCTGCAACATTTTTATTGTACACGAATAGCAAATTCTGTA